TAAATCAGCACTACGTTAGAAGTTAGCAGTAAAATTTATCATAATCGTTCTAATTTTCCACCAGGGATGGACGTAACATTCCCTATGTATAAATAAAATCCCTCCTCTCAAACAACAAAGTCATAGTCAAGTTTTTATTCTTTTCAACCCAGAGGTTTGGTGTGAAACTACTGTGGTGTTCAGCTTGAAGTTACTTCCATTTACTACAATCATATGGTGTTGCTAAAACAGAGGGCAACATTTGGTACTTTGTGATGGCAAAAAGAGTATACAGGGTTTATACAGGAATGATTGACTCTAATTTAATGCTTTTTAAAGCTCTAATAAATAATATTAATGCCATCAACAAGCAAGGGCGTAGGTTTAATCTCAACTTTGGCAGGGACACTACTGGTCTTAAGTTGAATTGGTCTGATGTCATTGGTCCTATGCATTATACATGCTCCTATTTTATTTTTTTTCGTTTTAAAAAGAATTTCGTTTAAAAAAAAAAAAGAAAGCATTTTTTGCTACATTTATACAAATTTTATAAGCACTACACACACAAGATGCTGTTTATGTTTGAAGCATCAGTGGCTCGGAATAATGTAAAATTGAGAGAACCATACACTTTGAAAAGGGTTAGGTAAATATGTGCCTTTTTAACCAAATATAGTCTAAATATGTCTGTTGTATGTGTATTTATCCTGTGTTTTCTTTTGAAGAAATAGTATTGTGCAGAGGTAAATGGAGGTAAAACCTACTCTTATTTTTTTATCTGATATTCTGATATTCTCTGTATTGTAAAAAAAAAAAAGCAAAATAACATATTCAAAGGAATGCAAATAGATTTATTGTATTTACATGGGCGCGGGAACTATAAGAGACACTGAGCATTTAAAATATTAACTACAAGTGGTGAGAAAAGAAGTGACTGCTCCAACAACGCTGTAAACTATTAACATGTTATTCACATTTATTGGTAGGGACAAAAAAAGTCGGGCCAAGATTTTGGTAGGGACATGTCCCTATGGTCCCTATTCAAACCTACGCCCATGTCAACAAGTACCCATGACTCTCCTATGTGTATATATATATATAAAATTACATATTATTATATCGTTTTCCAGCCACTTTTGTTGAAATGAGCATTTTCCTATTCTCTCTCCAGCTTCTTTTCCGGGCATACAGCTTTACGATCGAACCAAAGCAGTTCTGCGCAAACATATTGCGATATAATATAATAATATCTGATGAAATTGTTTTTATAAACAATTTTAATGCCAATTAGGGCCTTAATTAAAAAAAATAATAATTTAATGACTTGTTTTTAATCACCCCCTGAAACCCTGGTCTAAGAAGCCTCGATCCTTCACAAGGGTTTCCAGAACATCTAAATTGTCTCATCCTACAGCACTCCTTAAATGTGAGAGCTTGTTTTTTGTGTTGTTCTGACTGGAAACACTGTTTCAATACTATTTATTGCTCCTTTAAACTTCTTAATGATTTCTTCCTTATTGTTTGAGCTCAAATGCTTTGCCCGCTGTCTTTTGGCTACTTCCTGCTGCCTATAACTTCTCCATATGGTTTCTCTTTCAAATATCTGAACCGTCTGTTTTATATATTACCAGCAGTAAAAACCAGACAAACCCACTTTAGATAGCCGTCTAACCAAAGGGAGGTAAATGAAGAAAACTGCTGAGAGACTGAGTTATGTAAGGCTTTAACACACACACACACCTCCCAGGACTCAGGCTGAGGAACATACTTTTATAGGTCTGTCTCAGTGTTTGTTTCCTGGAAACATTAGAGAGATCTTTTACATCCTTGTCTCCATGGTAACTGCATCCCCATCTGTTGGTCCCTCACACGTTTGCTTCCTGCCTTGATTTCATATCGTTTTAAATTTCCTAATTGGACTGTTTTTTTTTCTAAAAATCCTAGAAACAGTATCGTCTGTGTTTATTTGTTATATTTTCTCCATCGGAGGAGCTTTAAACAAAGCCGGTGGTCAGGATCTCCTAGGTTAAGGTGTGCCAGTGTTTGGGTAGATGTTCATTCCATAGAAGCAGCTGCCTTAAATCCCAGACATGAACATTTAAACACGTCTCACATCAGTTGTTTTTGGTTTTAGGGGCTGTATGAACTGTCTATTTTTATTTATTTCTCTCCTTATAATTAACCAGTCTTTGCAATCATTAAACTTCAGTATTGGTAACGGATGAACATTACCTGCGTTATTGTATTTGACTTTATTAGACTGATAAAACTGATTCAACCTGAGTGGCTATGATTCAGGTAGATCCAAATCGGACAAACGGACCATAAAAGATTTTCTGAGACGCTGCAGGAAATATGACTCTGTTTGCATTTCCTGCAGAAATTCTTGGAATATTAAAGATGGATGACTCTTAAAATCCTCTAATATCCTACAGGTTTCACATCCATCTGGTTACACTTCCTCCATTGATCTATAAACCTTGATTTTTCCAGTAGTACTATAAATTCTTGCTCCGGTCACAGTGCCTCTAGTATATATTGAGTCCAGCTGTCTCCAGCAGGCATCATGTGTAGCCTTCATGCTCCTGTTTACTGCTGTAGTTTGTGTGAATGAAGCGTGGGCGACCGATGGCTCGCTCTCCTTTCACTGCAACCTGAAGCCATTGCAAATCGAATGTTGTCACTGCAGCACTTCCTGCTCCCACAGTGACCAACTGAGCTGAATGAAAGGAGCGATGAACCAGCAGCATCATTGGTGTAAATGCTCTGCAGCCTTGGGAAGTGTAAATTCTAAGTTCCTAACCCATGAAGCTCGCCCTGTTCTGATAGCAACTGATTTTATTTATACCAATATTTTACCTAAGCATGGACATCTTAATTTGAATTAAATATTTTAGTCAGTATTAAACTGGCTTATTTACCTAAATTAAAAACCAAAATGGAGATGTTCTGTGAGGAAAAGAATGATCCAAATGCTTTAAAACTACATTTAGCAGCTTTAAATCCCATTTTTTCCTTCATTATAATCTCAGAGTTATTTTAATAATCTCTTCTTTTCAATACTACTTTAGTTCTCAGAGGTTTTCAGAGATTTATTTCAGAGCAGCTCTCTCCATCTCCCAGCATTTCAATTAAGTTGATGTCTGTACTTTGACTAGGCCATTCAAACACAATCCCTCTATTCAATGTTCTATTGTATGCTTGCTGTTGTGTTCAGAATCATTGCTCAGTAAATTATCCAGTTGGATCTCAGTTCAGATCTTAGACCATTGGTCTCAGATTTGATTCTTGAGAACTTCAATTTTGACACAATGACTGTGCCTATAAAACCAGCCCACATCACCAACCCTCCATCATATTGCTTAATCAGTATTTATACTGATATTTTGTTTGGTTTAATGCTGTGCTTTATGCCCAAATATATCTACCTTGATCCCATCTGACCAAAGGAGATTGTTCCAAATTTGATAAACAAAGAAAGAATGAAGCAGAATGATGAAAAGTGGTCCCTATGTCCTCCAGCAGTCTAAGCCTATAGCAGCATAACTATAGAGATAGCTCAGGATATTTAAAATCAGTTTTGCAGTGAAGGTTATGACCTCTCACAACATTCTGTGTAAACAACTGAAACGAACATGGCAGCAGTTTCGAACCTTGCAGATTTTACACTGGAAAAATCTAAATCTAGAAAAGTCATTTTTTCTCAAAATAAGTGCATTTGTTCTTGAATTGAGGCGGTAAAAGAGACATTTTGCCAATGGAACAACACAATTTACATTAAAGATAAGAAAACACAATCGCATTGTCTTATTTCAAGTGCATAATATCTAATTATCTTATTTTAAGAGTAAAATTACCCATTCCATTGGCAAACTATCTCATTTACCTACTCAAATCAAGGGTGAATACACTTAATTAAAGAAATTTTTACTTATTTCTAGATTGTTTTTGCAGTGTAAGTGTGCAAAATATAAAAATTTTATACAAAAATCACTTTATTTCTAATACCGTTACATGAGGGTTTAATCTGGATTCAGAACCATCAATATAAGGTTAAATGTTGATGCTGATCTATAAACAGGAAATATAAACTCTGCGAAAAAGGAATAAACTTTTTTTTTTTATGAATCTTCTACTTGGGAGAGATTTTTGGGAAACAAGAGACCTTTACCTTTAAAACACGGTTGAAAACAGCGTTCAGAAATGTTTCAGTTTAAGGAAAGTTTAGCTTAAAATAAATATCTGACTCTCTTTGCTTCTGTTGGGTGGAAAAGAAAATCCCATTTAAATTCTGGAATATATTTATCTGTCCATCAGAAGCTGTTAGAATGAGGGATGATGGCTCAATGCTGCTGTTCATTGAGGCATTTAATCCATGAATGATTCTTCTGTTTAAAATGGATTTTCTTTGAAACATGAGATGAAAAGAGGATAAGGCTGAAATTCAGCAGCCTGGCCTTCAATGACGGAGGATGAAGATAAATATAAACTGCTCATTTTATGATTTCAAAACGGATAAAAACAAGATAAGAATGATCCTGTAATGATTTTATATTCAGAGTAACAGAGAAATTAGAGAGAAATAATGGTGATGTTACTGTCATAGGGAGTATATTAGTGGTTTTGGGTAATTATAAAGTTTTAGGATAGCAGAGAGAGAATTTGGATGATTTTAATTGAATATATTAAGGTTTTCTGCCCTGTTATTATTACATCTTTTAGAACATATTACAGAAGCCATTATTACCAAACACCATTATTAAAGACTAGAAGCCTTATAATAAACACAGATCTCTTTGATGTATGTTGAAAGCCTAATATTTGCTGTTTTTGTCTTTTCTCTGCATAAGTAGTCTCATCACCTCCTTTATTTCCATTTTCCACTTCAGCAGCAGCTTCTCTCCTGTGTGCTTTAATCCTGCTGCAGCTCTCGCTGGTTTTCATCCATAAGCACTCAGAACATGGATGGTTTGAAGGAGGATATTTACTAGTTCTCTCTCTCTGTCTGCCTTTCCTCACAGAAAGTCAGCGAGAAAGTTGGAGGAGCAGAAGGAACCAAACTAGACGATGACTTCAAAGAAATGGAAAAGGTAGCTAAAGAATACACTGTTTGTCTTAT